GGCGGACGGTTCGCCTCTCACTGAGCAATTTCAATCAAGGAAGGTTCACGTGGGTAGCGCCATCATACTGACATGGGGCCCAGACACAGCTGCGTGGGCTGGGCTGCTATCATCACACCGAGCACTGGCTAGAATCTAGCCGTCCATCCACTTCAAGGGTACTCACACCATAGAGGAAGAAAAATATATGATGTGAGCTCCCTACCCCTTCTTAGGAGCATGTATCTCCTCCTGTGGCAGTGGTGGGTAACGTGTGACCCATGCACCCCCTCCCCACTTGCTTCTCACGCACTGAGACACTGGACCCCACACTTCCTACTCTTCCCCCTCCCTCCCCGCACTTTCTGCGTGCCATGAATCCGCTGATTCATGCTCCGTCCCCGCTTCCCCCCTTCCTTCCCAGAGGTTGAACAGCAAATTCGTGGTGCTCTGACAGTGTGGATGGGGGGCAGAGTATGAAGTGTGGGGCTCTAGCACCCCATTGCACAAGAAGCAGGTGAGGAAGTGGGGCAAACAGGGAGTGCACAGGCTGCAGGTGGAACCCCAGCAGGTTGCAGGTTGCTCACCACTGGCAATCATGCAACCCACTGAGACAAAGGAGGGCCACTGACGCCGCACACTCACTGGTCTTAGTTGGCCATTGCTGCTTTATGGGCTGGGCCACATACGCAGTTCTTGAGTCTAGTACTGCATCGAGCTAGCTAGCCTAAGCTCAAGCAGTAAAGGGTTATGCTTTGGGATTGGAAGGTCCTGATTCCAATGCTACAGATCAGCCCAAGCAAGGTTCATTAGGAGCACACTGGAGGATACTATGCATAGACCTAGCTAGCTGTGGTGGTGCTGCAAGAGGTGATCAGGATAAGGTGCTGGAGCAATTTGTACCCTGGGGTGTGCTAAGCACCATTGAACCCAAGTGTAAACCCTCTGGAACCACTTCTAGACAGGTGGTGCAGCGGCTCTCCCCACCCCCACCGTGCTAGTTCCAGCATCGAGGGGTGGATGCTGTACATTAAGACTGACTGAATGGCTATGCATAGTTCATATTCGAACCACACCTTTTCTTTCAGCTCACCTGTGCCGCAGGCGTAACAGGACACCTGTTTCATTGATCTGACATAATTTATTGGTTTGAATGACATTAAGTACCACAGTTTTATTACCAGTGACATAACAAAAGTATGACGGACAAGATGGATTTCAGTTTACAAACACCCACTTAAGAAATGCATGTGACACTCAATTGTCTTGTTCCATTATTTAAGTGGACACATTTCATTAGTTTAGGTAAAAATTCAAAACACGTTATGTACAGTACTAATAGCCATTCTAGCCAGCTGGACATTCCAAGACTGCCCGTAGTCACAATTTTCCGCAACTGTGTTGTAATGTCACTGTAAGCAGCTTTTGACAAAATAAAAAGAATTATAGTTTAAAAAGTGCAACAACTAATTCGTAGCATGAGCAAATCTGATGTCGGCCAAGAAGCTGTGAAGAAATGTAGAAGGTACAATGGGTTGAACTGTTTTTATGGGACCCGTCAGTATAAAAGAACTAAAAACTGGCGTTTCTTCCAACACTAAACCAATTCAGCTCACAAGCGAGTGATGCACAATAATTGAACTAAGCTCTTCCTACTGGGAGGAGGGGAATACTCTCTGCATGCCTATTGGGTGATTGATCATGAACAATTACTGCAAGTAAATGTGCCAGGGTGACCTTTTATGGAGTACAACATTTGTTCGCCAAAAATCTTTGATCCTTGTGACAATTCAGAAGTGCAGAGTTCTTGGTACAGGTTTAGTATGTCATTAAAAAGGCCCCTCCACCTCCATCTTCTCCTCCCCACAATCTGCAAGGAACATGTGCACCAGAGTTAAGGACAGAGTCACTCGTTCCAGTTTAAAAAACGACCGTGACTGGCTCTTTTCACCAGCAGGACAGTCTCAGGAGGCAGGGTGACTGTCCCTTACATGTGCTGATACTTTGTTCTTGTGCTTGGCAGACAGGAACTTAGCTTCATGCCACCTTTGTAGTCTGGAGTCAGCTCTGGGTGCAACTTAGAGCAGCCTCCAGCCTTGTGCTCTACTTTCATGAGCAACTATGGCCCAGGTAAGTAGAGACTAGCCACAGTGCACCATTCTCTTGCCACATCCCTGCCACACTTGTTATGCTGGGGGAGCTGGGCTGGGTATAGAGCTCACACACTAGATCTATATCAGCCTTGGAAGCCCTGTAGTGCTTCAGGGAGGCCTTTTAAAGTATTTCTATAGAGCAGTATAAAAGGGCCTTGGTGTAACTGAGAACTAGGCCTCCTGTTTTTAACCCAGCTGTTGGCCAGATGAGTTAGAGCTCGCTGTCAAGGATCTGGACCAATCAATGAGGCACCACGATACCCCTCCCCCCACCATAGTAGCGCTTCAATGCCACAGGGTGGGGGAGGGGGCAGTTAGCTAGAAAGACATGAATGTGAAATTGGTCAAGAGAGGGATGAATTTTTAGGGCCGGGTTTCCTACATCTTTGCTGTGCCAAGGCCCGTTTATCAGGAGGCCCACTCACATCGCTATATAATAGACCAGGCAATGGGACCAAATCCAGCATCACATACACAGGTGGATTCCCACTCCAGGCACTGGGAGAGCCCATGTGAAATCACCACCTACCCCTGAGCGTGAGACCCCTGTGTGTTCTGTGTGGAGAGGCTCCTCAGTGCTCAGGCCTTGTCTACACTTACCGGAGTTGTCGATTTACTTCTGCTACGCATAGAGCTTAGCTGAAGTTGACATATTCACCACAGCGGGGGCTGCTCTCCCTTCTACGCCGGCTACCCCTCTCGTCTCGGCATTGACAGGAGCGCACTCAAAGATTTATTTATTGCAGACCTGATAAATCGATGGCTGGTGGATTGATTGGTCCACCGGGGAGTGTAGACAAGGCCTCAGTTCAGCATTGTGGGGTGGGATCTGTTTCCATCCTAGGTCCTCACCCCCATAGCATGTCACTCACTCATCCTACCTGCTTTGTCTTTCAGTCTCTGACTTTTCCCACATTGCTCCCTATGCCTAGAATCCTCTCCCACATCCAGCCCCACCCCCCTTGCCTTTCTACACACCCTCCCCTCTTGCTCACAGCCTCTGGGAAGCTCACAAATGTCAGCCAACTCAGTCTATATCAAATCTAAACCTCTCCAATGGTGTCATTTGAGTTAAATCCTTGGGGAAGGGCTCACATCCCCCTCCTTCCTGATTTGTTGCGGTGCTGGATGCTATACAGGGCAGAGAGGCAAATTTACAGTTGCAATAAAAGCTTAATAAAGAAGCATGAATCATGTACCAGAGATAGAAGGGCACCCACAAAAGATTGGGATGGTACAACTGGGTGGCCTAGCTTGTCTCTGGATCCACCTTTTCAGTGACATTTTTCTCTGGCTCCCTTCATAATTTTCTTTCCCCACTAGCCTGTCGGGTGGGTCTAGACAGCAAAAGAAGGCCTGCGGTAGGAGGTCTCAGGGCCCAGGTTAACTGAGTTAGGCTTGCAGGGCTCGCAGTATAGGGCTGAGGAAGCCTCAGAGCCCAGTCCACAAGTTGAGCATTTTCTCTGTGAATTTAGCCCTCTAGCCAGATCCCGGTCAGCTGCCCTGGGTTCTGAGACCGACGGCTGCAGGATTTTGTAGTGTAGCCGTACTCTCTGCCTGCTCCGTTCCCTTTCAGCCTCCAGGCTTCCTTCCTTTATGATTTAGCCAAGTTCTGAGAGCACTTACAGTGACACTAAGCCCTGTGCAGAGGGCCCACAGACGGCCTAGGCATTGCTTAAGTCCTCAAGGTTGGATGGAGGGCGGGCATAAGCCTCAAGCTGGGTCCTGAACTAAGCTGAATAAATAACAAAGGGGCTCCTTGCCAGGCTGGCCACATTGAGGGAGGGAAGGGGGCAAAGGGACAACGGGGTTGGAGCCCCGTGCCCTTTAGAATCACCACCAGAGTGCCAGCTCCAGAGCCCTGTGCTGCGCACACTGGCTGGCTCTGAGAACCGGGGGAAGAGGGGGGCGGGGAGAATCCTGTGCCATGGTCCTGGGAGCTGGCTGCCCCTACACTGCCCCTTTCACCCAAGGCCCCCCCACATTGCCATGGGGCCCTACCATCTTCTTGCCTTGCTCTGACTACATTTAAAATTCACAGCCACAGTGGTCATGGACCTGGCGCAAGTTGGGACTGAGTGGGGTTTGCTCAGTCCCGGCTCGCGCCAGGTCCAGCCACCCCCCATGGTTGGCCAAAAAAGAGGTTGCACCAGCAGCCCTGTCCGTGGGCGGTCCCAGCTCCCCACTGCTTTGTAGCAGCCTCCCCCACCCCTGCACCACAGAGATTATGCGGGGGGGTGGGGGGGGAACCAGCTTTTAAGCTGGCACACTTTTAAGCTTTGATACAGAGGCAGCAAGGGGGGGGGGGAGCAAGTAGCTGAGAAGTCAACTTGACTAGTTGCTTACATCCCTAAACTGGACCCACAAAACCCTGCAAATAGGGCCAGAGTAGCACGTGCCCAGCTGAAGAACTGTGAGTTTCTGTGTGTGCTTATCGGCTGACTCCGAATGCAGAATTCTCACACTCCCCTGTGTACGTGCTCGTCCTACAGACACACTGCCACAGTCACCGCTATCAGCCTGCCTCCCCTCAAGCTTGCCCGGTGGGCGCACTGGGTGGGATTTCTCTGAGTTGAATCCTGGATGTGCACTTTGATAAGCAGCTAATGAGGCCAACCCCACAGATTTTTTTGTTTAAATCCCATTTGAAACTTACACAAAGTTAGCATTCAGGCCCATACGCAGGAATTTGTGCGGGGGGAGGGGCAGGAGATGCTTTTTTTTTTTTTAAACCTGGACCGTAATTTTTTTAAATATAAAGAAATTCTAAATAGTCATGCAATGAGTGTGCATGAGAAAGGTTAATGAAACATTTGAGTGGAAACAGTGAATGGCAAAATGATTTTATTATAACATACTAACATTCGACTCCTCCCCCCCCCCCCCACTCTTACTTGGGACTCCATCCCTCACACACACCCTGCGTACAGGCCTGCCATTACTGACAAGATGTTATGGTCACTGGCACTAAATTAGTTATAAATTCACCTTTAGGATAGCTTGACAGAGTTATTAGCAACATTTACACATCACAAGACCATGGACGCAGAACTATTTCACCTGCCATTTTGCCTGAGCTTCTGCGGAAGGGCACATGCAATATTCTTCAAAACATAGCAATTGTGTACTTTTACAGTACATCATAAGGACATCTGGCTGCTATAGCCCTTTGTTTTGGCTAGTACCTCATGTGGCCCAGCCTCTCCACAACAGAAGAAATGCTGAGACAGTGAGCATGTTAAGACCCTGAACAGGCACTGGCAATTCACAAGGAACTGGGCATCTGTACTAAGTCACACTTTAAATCTTGCCTTAAATATACTCCCCATCCTGCATTCCTTACCCTCCCACTAGAGTGCAAAGGCATTTCCATTGTGCAAGGGAAGCAGGATCAAGTCTTTCATGGATTCGGTTCCAAGTGTGGGCTAAGTTCATTTCTCCAAGGTACACTGCACACCTCTGACACAAGCATCCTGGATGTCAGTGAAAACTCTTTGCTTCAAATGATAACTTAATGCAACAGTGAGCCACATGATGGCGTGAGGAGAATGTTCCCCTAAGCCTTTGGAGTCAATAAGATTTCTTGCCAAATCATTTCCTCATCACCACACTTTAAACAAAAGCAAAAGAGTCACTTTATCACCACGCAGAATAAAAAAGGAAGCAGCTGGCACCAATGCTCCCTCTAGTCTTTTCCATCCATGTGTGGACTTTTTCCAACCATGTGCAGAATAATTTTTGTTATGTGCACCAACACGTGTGTGAATGTGCACTTCCAGTAGAAACAAAAACCTTGCTGTGCGTGCTCTAATCAGCTGGTGGCAGTTGGAACTCTCCTGAGTGGCCACACAAGCACACAGCTTACAGGAAACCTTGTCTGAGACCCTGTCCAGAATACACTGGAATAACATAGAGACAATTTACCATTTGGAACCCTTAATTTAAGCACCTAAAGAGCAGTATATGTGTTTGCTTTTTAAAGCATTTACACCATATATGTACATAAATACTGCTTTCTGATTCACTGTTACCTTCAAACTCCCGTTTCTGATTATAATTTAACATTCCCTTCACTTAAAGACAATGAAATTTTTTTACTCTGTGTTTTAAGCTTGTGCTCTATATTCAGTTAGGACTGCGTGATCTCTTGGGGATAAGAAAATGCTTTGTAAAAAGATAGTTGGGACAGTGAGCTCACCAGGGAAAACCCTGATTGAGTTCAAACACACTGGCCCCACAAAGAGAAGATTTCATGAATACTAATGTGCCTAAACTAGAGACTGAGAGCAAGACCAGAGATGTGGACTTTGAGAGAGTTCAGATTTAGTGCAGAACTTCACATATTTGCCCCTGTGACAATAACAGGTCCAAACTCTCCAGGACTTTGGGAAAGTTCAGATTGGAAAAACTAGGACCAAATTAGAACCATTCCTGATCTTAACTACTGAATCACGACAGAAGAGAAAAGGCAAGTAGTCAAAACCCAGTCGTCATTAGTATAACTGGTATTTGAAGAGATCTATGTAGATGAGAGATAATATGAAGCACTTTTTCCCCTTCTTATTAAGAGCTAAGTTGCTAATTTCCATATTCAATGGCATGTTTTGCATCTGTTATTTCTAGTCATTGACCATATTTGCAGACTGTCAAGTCCCATACCTTGGGGATGTGCCATTAATGTTTTCAAGTCACTCATTAATACCCTGTGAAAATGCTACTTACTGAACACAGTCACCCATTTCACAAAGCATTCTGGACCGAGTTGTGTTGTTATTACAAGTTAGCACAGACCTAGGGGCATCCTGGTGCACATCATTCAGTATCTACCATGCTGACAACAAGCTCAGTCTGTTGTGGTAATTCTTTACCTAATGTAGTGAGATACACAAAATGGAATTAGCCTATGAAGGAGCATGAGATAGTGCTGTAAACAAGGGCTGCACAGCGCCTACCTAGAGAAGTGCAAAGTTTGTTTCTGCTATGGCTCAGCAGCTTCTATGTGACGTTTGTTGCTGACTTCTTGGCTTCCAACAGGATTAAGTGAATGACTTTTTTCTAATTTTCTTTTCTTTTTTTAAACATTTCAAATAAAACTATCTTGTGTTGTAAACATAATCTCATTCCTTGGGTCCGCTGCTCCGGTCCCAGCTAAGGTTTATGCTTGAAATGGGCTTCCACTGAAATGGGAAAAAAAAAATCAACCAAAAATGACAATACAAGAGGTGTTAGAACAAGGATTATTACGCAACCCTTTGGGCTCCAATGCACCACTAACTGGACTTAGCTTTGAACTAGTGGCTGTAAGGGCTTGTTTTCACTACAGAATGTTGTTGTGTTAGAATGTGACTGCAAAGAACCAAGTTCTCTGATACAGTGCATAGACAATGACATGCCATGTTCACCATTGCTTCAGCAGGGCGTGGCTAAACTCTGATCCCAGAAGAGGATATTGATAACCAATGTTCCCTCTAATCTCTTCCCCCCAAGTGTGGATTTTTTTCCATCCATGTGCAGAATATATTTTTTATGTGCAGCGAGGTATGTGCACCACCACTGTGCACTGTGGGCACTTTGCTAATCAGCTGGGTGGCCCTGGAATATCTCCTGAGCGAAGGCACAAGGGCACAGCTTACAGGAAACACTCCTGATAAATAGCTGACAAGATGCTGAATACAACACATCCTTGTCTACATTGAACTGTCTGGCACTTAACTCTATTGTTAAAAATCAAGTTTATGCACAATTAAGTGGATCCCTAAGGAAGGTTACTTACAAACTATGTTTTAACTCCAACTGAACGCTGTGCTCATAAAAGTGTAGGAAGCTGGCACAGAGCTTCTCTTATGCTGCCCCAACCAATGAGCCTCCACTCTGGACTGGCACCTCCCTCCCGGAGGGAGAGGGTAGGTTTCCTTCCTATACCCAATCAATCCTCAGTCTATTGATACTGTGGATAGTGGTACTAATTCAAGTGGAACTAATGGGAATAATTATTATTTCAGTCATAGCTAAAGGCCCTAGCTGTGATCAAGGCCCACTGTGTGAGACACTGTACATACACATAGGGACAGAAAGCCCCTGCCTTGAAGAGCTTACAATTCAAAACCCTAAGAGTGCATCTACACAGTACCCTAAACTCAAAATAAGATACACAATCTGTGCTACACAAATTGCATATCTTATTTTGATTGAATTTTGAAATAATGTGCTATTTTGAGACATCCCTTAACCCTCGTGGAACGAGGATTACAGAGATGCCGAAATAGGTCTCAAAATAACGGACGCACTATCTCGAAATAGCGCGTGCGTTCAAAAGACACAGGGTAGCTATTTCAGGTTGTTTCCGGTATGCCGAAATAGCCCTGTTGTGTAGATATACCCTAAAAGACTACTACTGTTCCACTGATGTGGGCATCTCTGTACTATGAAATGAACACATTTTGCATAAGCTACTGAACAGGTGGCAGATGCAAAGGACTTCCCAAATGGGCGGGATTTGATTTGGAGGTGAAAGGCTCTGTCTCTCTTTCAGTCTCCTCATTCTTTAAGGCGGATTAATGAAGGCCACAATGCTTCAGAGGTCTTAGGGTTAACTCACCTGCATATTCCTGAGGCAGCATTGGCCTGCTTATGACTTTCTGAAAAGCCGCAATCCATTCCAGCTGATCGCTTTCTGTCTCACAAGCAAAGAGAAATTTTCTGTCTGGGGTCACAATGGTAATCCCATACTGCCAGTGATTTCCCTGGGTGGAGGGTGGGAGTCCTTGCAGGACCTTGTAGCTGTTTTCCGTGCTCCCAATAAATACTTCCCCTCTAGCGAAAGCATCCTACAAGATATAAATAAACGATTCAGAGCCCTTTCAAGGAGACGGGGAGTATGGATCATGCAGCAACCTCACATTAGTGCACAGCCTCACATCAGCAGAAAACAGTGAGAGAGCGCTACACACCAAATTCCCAAGGTCAAACACCAACAAAGATGAGAGACGTTCAAAATCCACCAAATTTCAGTTTTGCAAATAGCTCCCACTTAATAATGAGCCAAAAGAAGCCCCTGGGTTCCACACGTCCCCAAATTTCAGGTGCCTTAAATCCAGATACATTTTATGCTTTGACCTCATTCTGAGAGAGAGAGTGAGCTGCTATCCTCTCTATCCTTCTCACCTCTCACCCCCCAAACTCCTGATTAATGCATATCCACTCCAAGATACAGCAGGTCAGATCCTCACCTGATATAAAATCATCGAATTCCACTGAGTTATGATTTCACTGCCTTTAGTGGGGTTCTTTTGCTTTATACCATCTGAGGACTGGGCCCAGCAAATTCTGCCCAAGGTCAAACAATAAACCTGCAGCACAGTAAGTCTCTCAAGTCCTAGTTTAGTACCCTAACCAGGAACCAGCCTTGCTCTCAGTGTTTTGTTTCCTACGTAGGATACCGAGCATATAATGAGGTAATATTAATTAATACCGTGACTATCACAGCAATGTTAATTACTGTCAAAGTTTGGGATTTTCAAAGAGCCTCATGGAGATAGCCACCCAGTGGAACTGGGCAACGGACTCTCCTCAAATCCTTTACAAATCCCAGCCCCACAGGCAACGAAGCACAGAAAAGCTCTGCAAAAGAGCGGAGGGAAAGAAAAACCTGGTGAATGCAATAAAAGGTTGAGAAGGGACTAGAGGACAACCATTTCAGGAGGGTTCATGGATTTTTCTGTGACTACAAACCAGGCTACTGTGCAGTGGATTTTGGACAACAGTCTAACAACCTGCCCCATGTATTTTCACTTTACTCCTAGATTAGACCAAACTATTAGGCTATGTCTACACTACACGTTTTTGTGGCAGAAAATCATCCCTCTCCGGGACAGGCATAAGGATCGTGTGCAAAACGGGGGTTTTGCGCAAAACGGAAGCGGCTACCCTGCTTCTTTTTGTGCAAAAACCCCTTGTGCAAAAAGAAACGGCAGTAAATATGCTAATGATGTCGCAACTCATGCTAATGAGTCCCTCATTAGCATATTTTCTGCCACAAAACATCTAGTGTAGACATAGCCTTATAGGCTATTTCATGCAGATGTGAGCTGAGTTCAAATGCCTTTGCCTTACCAGAGGATCTTTGAAATACATTAGCCTTCGGTCATCCATGGTGAACCATCGCTTCTTGAAACCTTCTGTTTGCTAAAGAGTTAAGAGAAAAAAATAATCAAGCAGTGGCTAAGGGAAACTCAGCTCGCTTCTAAGGAGAGAAGTTAAGAGAATTTATGGGGCCTTGGTGATGTTCAGGACAGTTCTGATGGCAGAGATGTACTGAGTTCAGAAAGGGCAGAGTCTGCACCAGCTTGAGGGTAGAGTGGATATTATCTGCCCACAAGAGTGTAGTGTATAACGCTTCCCAGTACAAGGTCACTGGCTGGGAATTTTAGGGAGGGAGAATTGACAGGCCAATCTGTCAGTTCTTCTAAGATCCATTTAAACACCCTCCTTCACCAACCAGCCTTTGCTTGTCCCCACCATGCAAGACAGTTCCACCTTATCAACATTGTCCACACTATGGGTCTTTTAGGTCCAGCATTTACCGCTTCACACATGCATATAGTCATTAGATGCAGAAAAAAACCCCCACCCCTATGTACATTATGACAAACAAAGGCCTTGGGTCATATGTTTCAAGGAGAAAGAGACATAAGAATATAAGAATGGCCACACTGGCTCCAGGAGAGCCGAGAGCTTCTGTGGGCCCCGGGCAAGGTGTGTGGGGGAGGCTCTGTGTTCTCAGAAAGGGCGGGACCTTGGGCAGAAGGGGCGGTACCAAGGACAGCCAGCCTTCTACACAGCTTAAAGCGTGCCATGTCCTCCTCAGGCCCTCAGAGCCACATGAAGCCTGCGGTACAGCACCCTTTAGGCGATTTAATGGGCCCAGGGCTCTGGCAACAGTGGCAGTGGCCAGGAGCCCCAGATCCCTTTAAATCGCCAGGTCTTAAGGCAGTAGTCCCTTTTGCCTTCCCCCCATCGGTGAGCTTTACTGGGCCAGCTATGCCTACACTTTCAGCGCTTTTCCCCTGGGAGTTTCACTGGTGATAGGGAGCTGGCGCAAGAAAAGTGCTGGTTTGTGTGTTCACTTACTCCCACAGGCATCAGACAGTGTTTGCAACAATCCCATCTCTAAAGAGAGCAGCACCCTGAGGGCAGCTATCCTACAGTGAGGCTAGAGCTCCCTCTCCCCACATAGTCACTGCAGGCATTGTGACCTGGCCAGATGGTAAGTGAGCACTTGCCAAGAAAACAGGGAGAGGAGTTTCAAAGTTCTCGGGCCTTTACATGGGGAGGGGTGGGTGACTGTTAATGGTGTCAGAGCAGCACAGGTGCTGGCTAGCGTGGTCCCCTAGGCACTGTGGGAATCTTGCAGAGGCTAAAAGCTTTGTAAACTGTTGGAACCTGTCATCACTTGCACATCACTGGAAAAGCATCACGGGTAACAGCTGTACGCCTCTCATGAGGGTGGTTTTATTTTTGCTGTGAAATTTCTGAGCTCCACTGCAAAAAGTCATTGGCAAGCGTAGACGCTCTGACAGTTTCTGTGCAAAAAAAGGTACCTCAGAGGGAACGAACAGAAGAGGCAATCGTCAACTGATCCATCTTCTGTTTCCCATTTCCAGCTTCTGACAAACAGAGACTAGGGACACTATCATTCCCATCCTGGCTAATAGCCATTGATGGACCTATGCTCCATGAATTTATCTAGCTTTTTTTTTTAACCCTGTTATAGTCTTGGCTTTCACAACATCCTCTGGCAATGAGTTCCACAGGTTGACTGTGTGTTGTGTGAAGAAATACTTCCTTTTGCTTCTTTTAAACCTTCTGCCTATTAATTTCATTTGGTGAGCCCTAGTTCTTGTGTTATGAGTAAATATTGCTTCCTTATCTACTATCTCCACACCAGGCATGATTTTATACCTCCCTAGCATATACTCCCTTAACTCTCTCTTTTGCAAGATGAAAAGTCCCTATCTTATTAAATCTCTCATAATTATGCACTTTAAGAAGCTTTCTGGCCCTGCCCATGCAGCTCTCAATTGAGCTAATCTCAAGTGTCCCAGTCGTAGAATCATAGAATCATAGGACTGGAAGGGACCTTGAGAGGTCATCGAGTCCAGCCCCCCGCCTTCAAGGCAGGACCAAGCTCCGTCTACACCATCCCTGACAGATGTCTATCTAACCTGTTCTTAAATATCTCCAGAGAGGGAGATTCCACCACCTCCCTTGGCAATTTATTCCAATATTTGACCACCCTGACAGTTAGGAATTTTTTCCTAATGTCCAATCTAAACCTCCCCTGCTGCACTTTAAGCCCATTACTCCATGTCCTGTCCTCAGAAACCAAGAGGAACAAATTTTCACCTTCCTCCTTGTGACACCCTTTTAGATATTTGAAAACCACTATCATGTCCCCCCTTAATCTTCTTTTTTCCAAACTAAACAAGCCCAGTTCATGAAGCCTGGCTTCATAGGCTTCTCTAGACCTTTAATCATTCTTGTCACTCTTCTCTGTACCCTTTCCAATTTCTCCACATCTTTCTTGAAATGTGGCGCCCAGAACTGGACACAGTACTCCAGCTGAGGCCTAACTAGTGCAGAATAGAGCGGCAGAATGACTTCACGAGTTTTGCTTACAACACACCTGTTGATACAACCTAAAATCATATTTGCTTTTTTTGCAACAGCATCACACTGTTGACTCATATTCAACTTGTGGTCCACTATGACCCCTAGATCCCTTTCCGCCATGCTCCTTCCTAGACAGTCGCTTCCCATCTTGTATGTATGGAACTGATTGTTCCTTCCTAAGTGGAGCACTCTGCATTTCTCCTTATTAAACCTCATCCTGTTTACCTCCGACCATTTCTCTAACTTGCTAAGGTCATTTTGAATTATGTCCCTATCCTCCAAAGAAGTTGCAACCCCACCCAGTTTGGTATCATCTGCAAACTTAATAAGAGTACTCTCTATCCCAATATCTACATCATTGATGAAGATATTGAACAGTACGGGTCCCAAAACAGACCCTTGAGGAACTCCACTTGTTATCCCTTTCCAGCAGGATTTAGAACCGTTAACAACAACTCTCTGACTACGGTTATCCAGCCAATTATGCACCCACCTTATCGTGGCCCTATCTAAGTTATATTTGCCTAGTTTATCAATAAGAATATCATGCGAGACCGTATCAAATGCCTTACTAAAGTCTAGGTATATGACATCCACCGCTTCTCCCTTATCCACAAGGCTCGTTATCTTATCAAAGAAAGCTATCAGATTAGTTTGGCATGACTTGTTCTTCACAAACCCATGCTGGCTATTCCCTATCACTTTATTACCTTCCAAGTGTTTGCATATGATTTCCTTAATTACCTGCTCCATTATCTTCCCTGGGACAGACGTTAAACTGACCGGTCTATAATTTCCTGGGTTGTTCTTATTCCCCTTTTTATAGATGGGCACAATATTTGCCCTTTTCCAGTCTTCTGGAATCTCCCCTGTCTGCCATGATTTTTCAAAGATCATAGCTAAAGGCTCAGATACCTCCTCTATCAGCTCCTTGAGTATCCTGGGATGCATTTCATCAGGACCTGGTGACTTGCTGACATCTAACTTTCCTAAGTGATTTTTAACTTGTTCTTTGTGTATCCTATCTTCTAAACTTACCCTCTCTCTGCTTGTATTCACTACGTTAGGCACACCTCCAGACTTCTCGGTGAAGACCGAAACAAAGAAGTCATTGAGCATCTCCGCCATTTCCAAGTTCCCTGTTACTGCTTCTCCCTCCTCACTAAGCAGTGGGCCTACCCTGTCCTTGGTCTTCCTCTTGCTTTTAATGTATTTATAAAAGGTCTTCTTGTTTCCCTTTATGCCTGTAGCTAGTTTGATCTCATTTTGTGCCTTTGCCTTTCTAATCTTGCCCCTGCATTCCCGTGTTGCTTGCCTATATTCATCCTTTGTTAGTTGTCCTAGTTTCCATTTTTTATATGACTCCTTTTTTATTTTGAGATCATGCAAGATCTCCTTGTTAAGCCAAGCTGGTCTTTTGCCATATTTTCTATCTTTCCTACACAGCGGAATTGTTTGCTTTTGGGCCCTTAACAACGTCCCTTTGAAATACTTCCAACTCTCCTCAGTTGTTTTTCCCTTCAGTCTTGCTTCCCATGGGACCTTACCTACAAGTTCTCTGAGCTTATCAAAATCTGCCTTCCTGAAATCCATAACCTCAATTGTGCTGGTCTCCCTTCTACCTTTCCTTAAGATCATGAACTCTATTATTTCATGAATGACTTGTCTTAAAATGACTGATCACAGAATAGACATAAGAAGGAAACAAAAATGATCTTAACCAATTAATCTTGCCTTGGTTTCTGAAATGTTTCTGTTCTGTCAACTACAATCTCTTGCCCCAGCCCTTTAAAATGAAGAAAAAGAATTTAAAAAGATGATAAGAAACAGAGTTCGACACTGTTAAAGAAATTTTCCTGCATCTAAAACGATGAACTCCTCCTCCACACACTAAAATACTGTACAAAACTGGGACGTTCCCAACACTTATCAGGGGTATAATAGGAGATCCTCTGTAGCTCTTTAGCAAGACAAGCTTCATAACATGCAGCAGCTGTTAGAGGAAATTGTCATAAAAAGAACGGATGTAAATCATGTAAAATCAATGGCACATACATTACTACTATCCAGCACCTGCCATAAGATAGGGCATCCTCCTTTTCACACAGAGTTTTTTAACCTCAATAGTTGTTTACACCTCAATAGTTGCACCACTTTTTATCAGTTAAAGCAGCATTGGTAGCTGCCAGGAGTGATGTGTAGGAAAGGCACAAGGGGGCACATGTCATCCCAAATGCAGTGGGCAGGAGGGGCAAGGAGCCGGCAGCACCCTGCAAGGCTAGAGTCCCTGGGGGCACCCCAACCCCTGCCTTCAAACCTGAGCCCCTTCCCACACCTTAAGTGCCGCAGAGAATGCCGCAGAGACCCCAGACTCTCACCTTCTTCAGCCACAAGCCACATTCTGCACCCTAACTCCCTCCCAGGCCCACACCCCAACCCTGAGACTTCTCCCACACTCCAACTCCCTTGGCCCCAGCCTGAAGCCCCTTCCTGCCCCCCAAATCCCTCATCCCCATCACCAGCTCAGAGCCTGCACCCCTAGTCAGAGACATCACCTCTCCTACACTGACCCTCCTGCCCCAACCCAGAGCCTAGGGGGCTCCACAAAAATCTAATAGCCCTGGACTCCCAAAAGAGTTAATCTGGCCCTCCACAAAGTGGGGGGCGCAGTGATATAGAACGGCTGCACATGCTATCGCTGATATGGAGCTGATGCAGGGAGAGGCAGGTTACCCCTCCAGTGCCACACCAAGCTCTTTTACTTCTGCATGTCCTGGTGGAGTGTGAATTTTACCTTTGGCCTGTCTCTAATCTGTTTATAACACCATAGGTACACTGAAAAGAGCAATGAATAGTGGAAACAATGGCGGGCAGCAGGGAGAGCACAAGGAACTTGGATATAAAATCAAGAGTGAGGGTGCAGGACAAAAGATAAATTCAAAGGGACTGAAACGTTGGCACATGCTGTTCATGGCTGGATTTCACACTTTAATCCTCCCATAGCATATCTGCCCCACCATTATGTGGCTCACACAGCAGGACAGAACAAACTCATTTTTGGTATGAATACAAAATACAGGATGTCCTACCTTTGGTCCAGTTTTCTCCATGTAACCTTCCTTCAGATAGTTCCTAGAAAGCTTTGGCACCAACTAGAGTTGTCAAATTAAGAAAGCAAAAAAAAAAAAAAAAAAAAAGTACATTAGGGAACTTTAGACCAATGGAGATATGATGTGTCACAGATGCAAACTTAAGCACTGTCATGCCAGTGCCCCAAGTTATCATTTCAATGGGAGCTTATGGGGGAAAAAAGCGCCAAGAGAGCGCATTAACTCTGGCCCACAGGCAGACTGGGGACAGCTTAACACACTGCTCTGCCTACTGAAGTGGATTTATTTATTCCTATTGTTCTCTCATCATCCCCGAAGACTATTTCCGTTTCTTTGACCACGTGTTAGGTTTGTAATACGGATACGTCTACACTGCAAAAAAAAAAACCCTGACACATCAGGCTACTGCAAGTCTCCAGGAGGGGTCAGCTAATTTGGACTTGCATTAGGGGGCTATAAAGAGCAGTGTCTATGTTCCTGTTGGAGCTATAAAACGGGCAAGGCAGAATTTTCAAAACTGGAGGTCTCAAGCTAACTTCGTTCATCAGCCGGCACCTGGTTTTCACATGCACTGAGAACTCACAAGCTCCACTGGCTTTCATGAGGACTGCTGGGTGCTCAGGGGTTTTGGAAATCAGATCACTTCTTTTAAGTGAATTTAGGAGCCTAACTTGAAGCTCCTTGTTAAATTCTTAGGGAAGACCTACCTCAGGCTCAATCCTTCTCCCCGTCAAAGCTAATGGCACAATTCCCCTTGACCCCAAAGAAAGCCAAATCAAGCTGCAGTCCTGGACCCCGTGGTCCCCAGCTATTGTGAGAACTGGGGCTGCAGCCAAAGACATAGTGATAATATTTAATTATTCATTATGCATACCGCAGAGGCACCTAGAAGCCCCAGTCAGGGGTTACTGTGCTGGGCGCTGCAGTCACAGAATGAGAAGATGATCCCTGCTCCCAAAATCTTACAAACAGTCAATAACAGCTGTGTACGATACAGCAGGTTAAAACCTGCACCGGAGTGGGATGCAGGGATACTGTCCCCTTCCAAAGCTCCCTAGCCCACCCAGGGTCCTCTCTGCACCACATCATGCCCTGATAGCTCTGCAGGCTGACACTGGGCAAGGCCCTAGTCCCCTCTTCTTCTATCCCAGATGCCTCCATGGGTTTGAGGAGGAAGCAGACCCCCTGTACACCCTGAGAACACTGACTGCATGCATGGGATCCCTGAGGCTATGGACGATCCCACCCTCCCCGGGTGACACTTAGCCCTCCATTACATTTTCAATGGAAACAAGATGCTTCTATTGGGATGATGGGAGATGGACTCAGCCTCATCTTCCTGTGCCTACCCTCCTTCCTACACGCTTGCCATTTGAGGGTCCCCGTTTCCCATGCTCACTGCCCCTCCGCTGTGGGGCGACGGCAGGGTTGAGCGGGTCATTCTTTGATCGTTACACTGTGTCTTTAACATTCGGCCTGGTCCAAGGAAAGTGAGGAATCATCCTAAGCAGCCTCTTTTACGCTCTACAGATACTGCTCATGAAGTCCTTCGGCAAAATCCTGCCTCCTCTGAAACCGGTGCCAAAACTCCCACTAATTCCAATGGGGGGAGGAAGCATCGTGACTGGGTGTGTTCTCTTGGTGTGTTTTGCCACAGTAAGGGCTGTGTAAAACTCAGGGCCTGATTCTGTGAACCCTTCAACAGAGAGGTAGCCCCACGGACAGCTTACTCGCTGGAGGAAGGACCTACGGGATCAGGCCCCTAAGAGCCGGCCCTAGATCATTTTCAAATCCCTGCCACATCAGGTAGGAGCCCCCAGACACCAGTTGTTCTCTCCCAGGCCTGCCAATGGGGTGGGGCAAAAGGGGCACTTACCCCAGGGCCCAGAGATTCAAAAGGGCTTGGGGCGCCCGGCTCTTGCTGCTGCTAACACAAGAGCAGCGGCAATGACCGGAACGCCAGGCCCTTTAAATCACCACTAGAGAATAGCACGCTCCAGGCAGAGCTAAGGCCTGAGTTGGAAGGGACTGGCATACTCCCAGGCATTGCCGAGGGCTAGCTGCCCCAGCCCCGCCTCTTCAGCCAGAGGCCCCTCCCAGGAGTGCAAAGCCACTTCCCCATTCTTGCCAAGAGGCCTGGCAAGTCTGCCCCCGCCCCCCACACCTCTCTCTTTCCTCACTCACTTGTTCTCAGATCAATATGATTACAGGAGATCTACAAGCCCTAATATGCCATCTGCCTGTAAGGGCTACAACACAGGATGTCTGTGAACGCCCCTTTTGCTGAGATCTACTTGACAATAATTACCAGGGCCTAGGTTATTTTTAAAAACACTTGGCGCAGATGAGCTGTTAACGGCGAGATCTCTGCAGATAGATGCGTGAGGCTCTTTAAAAAGAAAAGTGAGACTCACCCGCAAAGGGAGCTGACAAGGCTGATTAAATACTTCTCACCTTCCCCCACTCCCTGCCTCGCATTGAAACACGTTATTAATGGCAAAGCTTTAAAAATTACATTCCTGTGACATGTAATTCCGTCTAACAAAAGGCTCTGATAAACCAGTTATGTGATCACATAAAAAGCACCCTGGAGAATCACACAGCTGGTTTGCAGAGATCCAGAATATCTTCATCTCCAGTCGTAAGACTGGCAGGCAGCTGAGGGATTTTGTCTTTACTGGAAAGACCCTTTATCACTTCAGAATTGTTAACCCTTTGTGGCCAAACATTATGCTAAGCAGCATCCAAGATGCAGTATTTTTGTGTGCAAAGTGTCGTAATCAGTAGCCACCCCAGAAATTGAAATTGGGGGGGAGGGAGTGTTCAGAATTTACAGGGGGTGTCAGGGCCGATGAGGGTGAAGGTGGACTGTACGGCACTATAGTTCACAAAACTGGGGGGATGATGGGGAAATTCTGGGGGGGGTATACACTCCCAGAGGGAGGGTATAGAGAAATCCCTGGTCATAATCCTTCCTGTTGGACACAGCCTTTCCGTACATAGCAGGGATGGGCCAGCTTCATAAAAGGCTGCAGGTTTCTTAAAAGGTGCAGTTTGCAGTTCTTGTGTCTATATCACAATACCTACCCATCTCTTGAAGCACTTAGCTCTATTCTCATTTACACTAGGCCCCTTTACACCACTTTAGCAATGTAAAAGAGCCTGAAAGAGGGCAACAAAAAAAATCCAGTAACACCCACTATAAGATGCCTAAGTGTAAATAACAATAAAGTCTGTTTTCCACTAGCATAAAAATACAGGAATTTTACATTCCAAGGTCATAAATCCAGGCTTGCAAAAGTCTACTGATACCCTAGTCACACCAAGTAATCATTTCTTTTTTGGGCAAGTAAAATATCATTCATTTTTCTTCTGTCATGAATGGTATTGGTGAGCAACCAGATTTCTAACATCAATCATCATGTGAATGACCAAGCAAAAAGATTTTGTGTTTTGGATTTGTGAATTTTCATGAGAATTTGATATAATGCTGTAAACAAATTTTAACTGAATCAAGTACTTAGAGGTGGAAAAGTCTTATTAAACAAAGATTGCACTACAGTGACTATAATTATGTATAATTATTAGATAGTTAATGCAAGTGGATTCTAAAATACATGTACAGGTTGAACCTCTCTGGCCTTGCATTCTCTGATCTGACAACATCTGTGGTCTGGCATGATTTTAGCTAGCTGGATGTTCACTTATCATGGGTGTGGCCAAGTTTCCCACAGTCCCATAAAGTTTGTTTACAGCCACCAGTCCCGGCTCTCAATGTTCTGTGCTGTTATTTACCTCTAATTTACACCTAAATGTCTTCTAAGAGCCAAGTAAGCAGTGGAAGCATTGGTAATACTGCTAGATAATACTGACCTCCTGTAGTTTGACAAATTCTCTGATTTGGCACCCAAGGGTGCTGGACTGGCTAGGTTCAACCTGTATTAGGTATAAAACCAAGGAGGTAATAGTGGATAAATCAATCATTCTGTCAACTTGGTAATTAGATGAATTAGTGGTAATTACCCATATCTAAAAGCAAAGCCATAGTGTAATTAAACTGCAATTGCAGTGCAACTACAATGTAATACACTGTTTATATTATACGAGTAACTCATCTTGGTATTATACTACACTTTGTGACACTACTTTCAAATTGTAGTGCCAGCCTCCAGGAAAGGAAGGGAAAACTCTTGCAGCAGAAGCTGAATCAAACTGTAAAGCAATACGGCACTTGATCTCAGCCAGAAGAGCAGAGTT